TTCCAGCAGAAGGTGCTGTTGGCTGAGCACACCGAGCACCAGCCTCGGGCTCTGCTCCATCCCGAGCTCTCAGCTCTCTCTCGTTGCCTTCTGTTTGTTTGTGTTTCCATGGCTTTTCCGTGATCACAATCGAGAGAGCTTTCGGAGAGCTGCTCAGGACCGGAGTGATTGGAGATGGAAAAACATAAAGGCTCCAGAACATCTCCTGCTGGGACAGGATACGGCCCTTCCCCCGAGGGAAGATATTTCAGATTTGAGGAGATAATGTCCCTGCTCAGAGCCAGGAGGCTGCCGAGAAGTGACAAAAAAAACGACAAGAAATGACGAGCGACCTCGGAGCGTTGCAACCTTGGGAACGGATGCATCCCAACATTTTCCTTCTCTCAGATGAGCCAGATTAAATCAGGATTAAATCCCTGTTAAATCCTAACCYCAGGAGAGCACCTGTGGTTGTTCTGCTGGTGCCAAGGGATGCAACTGGTCTTACACAGCCGGAGCCTCCTCACTGCCCGCGTCCTGGCTGTTGATTTTGGCTCCTGCCTTCAGCCTCGTGGGAGTGAGAGGAAAATCACGTCCCTGACCTCTCAGCCAGCRAGAGAGAGCAGCTGGGAAATGTCTGAGGAGGCAGTTCAGCCTGGGGAGAGCTTCCTGTGCGGCTCAGTTTCCAAAAATACAAAAAAAATAAGAAGGAGGAACGATGGGGAAGAACCAGGCAGGAGGAGCAGGGGGTGGGGGATCAGAGGGGCAGTGCTGGGCTGGCAGAGCCCAACTGTGGCCATGGGAAGGATGAGGACAGTGCAYGAGCCACGGGTTTATGATTTATGGGTCATATGGGGGTTGTGGCAGGGTGCCAAGCTCTCATTTTGATTTTTTCTTCGCTTTTTAGGAGGCCAAGAGCAGCTCAGGAGGCAGCACCGTGCAGCGCTCCAAGGTACCTGTGGCTTTTCCACATCTCAGAAYTGTCCCTGAATGGGCTGGCTTGGAAGGGACCTTAAAGCAGRGACACCTTCCACCATCCCAGGGTGGACTTGGATATTTCCAGGGATCCAGGGGCAGCCACAGCTTCTCAGGGCTTCGTGCTGCTGCTGAATGGAGAGGGTGGAAGGGCCAAAACCCAAAGGGTCAAGCTCCAGCCCAGCCCAGGGAGGATGAGGTTCATGGGGCTGCTTTCTGCTCCTCAGTGCTGCAGGGGAGAGGGCAGTGGAGGGGTTCAGGGTGCCCCCAATTCCMTGCTCATGCTCTGTGTCCCTCTGCTCTGCCCTGGGCCAGTCCTTCAGCCTGAAGGCGCAGGTGAAGGAGATGTGCACTGCCTGCCAGAAAGCCGTGTACCCCATGGAGAGGTTGGTGGCCGACAAATCCGTCTTCCACAACTCCTGCTTCTGCTGCAAGCACTGCCACACCAAGCTCAGGTGAGTCTGGGGGCTGTGCTGGGACAGGATCACTGRGACCTCCMAAAMAGGGYRCCCAMAGCAAAATAAAGRTTTATCTGCACACWYGGGGACATGCATCACCAAGACCTCCCAAAAAGGGCACCCACCCCCTCCAT